ATTTGTAAACACACACATTTATCTTTACGTCCGTGTTTTAAAGTGAAAGTAATGTTTGTATATAAAATAAGGAAAAACACCAAAAATCAAGGCCATTGCCATGAAGTCAGTTCCTACACATAGTGACTCTGTGTAGGTTTCCTATGTCTAGTTCATTATGAGATCTTTTCTCCCGAGCAACTATCTAATTGTGTAGGTTTGAACTGCTGACCTTGGAGTTAGCAGCCCCATACCTAATCCTCAGTGCTAGCAGAATGGAAGAAATGAGAACTTCAAAACAAAGTTGCATATTATTTTGCTTTTGTATAGTTTTGTTTTAGGGCTGCAATCTCAAATATAATTTAAGAACATTGATTAAGTCTTAAGTGGGACAAAGACAAGACAAATAGCATCCAGATGAAGGAGAGAGCCCTCTGTCGTGACATCAATCTGCTGTTCAAGGTTTTGCCGAGGAGCAGAGCTTTAAAAAGGACATGGGAAGGCACAAGAGACTGTCACAAAGGCATAGTTACAGGTGGAACTACAGACTCAGGAACAGAACCGTGATTAGGCCACATACATTATGTTAAACAGAAAAACTTAAAAGGTAATCAGAGCAGAGCCAAGAAGGCATGACTCACGTCTGTGTGACCTGCAGTACAGTGTTTGCTCCATCAAGAACACACCCAGGCAAGGTGAAGGGAGACTGCCTCACCCGGCCCAGAGAAAGGCGGAGGTCATCCATCCACTTTGCACCGCATTATGCCTGTGCACTGTGTACATTCACAGTTTGGTTAATGGTTAGAAGGAATTCAGTGGAGTCTTGATCCATGTAGGGGCTCTACGAGCATATTTGGGATTTTCACTTTTCAGTGTCATCTATAGCTTCTGCAAAAGGGGTGCTCAGATTTTAAGCCTTAATACAAGCATAAATACTGAAAGCATGAATTAAAGAAATAGAATGTTTCTGCATTTAGAGGTCAAATCGATGGCATTTAACTTTTTATTTGACCTGTGCAGAATAAAAACACTTGGAAAACTGATCAGGGATTTTTCATTTTTACTTATAACACTTTTTCCTCCTTGATTGTATATTTTCAACTTTCAGATTATAAGGGTATGTCTTAATTAATTTTGAAATGGAACGTTCATCCTGAAATCTAATACGTACTTATATTGGATTTACCTTACTTGGTCCATAAAATATTAATGCCCAAGCCAGTTAAGTTTAGTCAACAAAGTATTTTAAATAGCTGTGAGAAAGAGCTCTTCATGGACAAAGTGGAGACCCAAAACCCACCTATGAGATAATTGGACAGTCTCTCACAGAAGGGCCATGAGATAGTTTATTGTGCCAGCCTGGCCGATAAACACAAGTGGGATTAACTGAAGGGCAGAGAGATAAATGGCTTGGTGAGCCTCGCCTTTCTTGTCTCTTGCTCTTTGATCATCGGACCAGTGTGCAGCTGCCTTGCTTGTTCTGTGCCTCAATTTATAGGCTACACTATCTGTGGGACGCCTAGCCTGTGGAGTGTGTTGCTGTAAGTTGAGATCCCTTTAGGACATCTCTGGAGCTGGAGACTGGCATTTGGGACTGGTGGTTAGTTGACAGTTGGTGATCTGCCTTGTGATTGGCTGCTGTGCTGACATAGCCTCGCTCTCTCTAAATAGAGGGAGATCTGGCAGCAGACTGGACTTGAAGGACTGCTAGTCTCTCACAACTCTCTCTCACGGGAGTAAATTGCACTGAGCCATTTGTCGTGCTTTATAATTTAACTGTTCATTTCTTGTATTATATATTTATCTGTATATGATTTAACAGTTCATTTCTTGTTATATATCTAATTATCTTTATAAATAAATATATTTAATTATCAGCCATTTGGTTTTGTCTCTCTAGAGAACCCTGTCTAACACAGGCCACTTGGAAGGGATGATAAATCTAGGAGGTGGTATAGCACTGAGGAAACACATAACTATTCTCTAGTTCTTTAGTATTTCTTCCCCATACTATTATGGTTTTTGTTTTACCTTATTAATCTTGTTAGGCCTGTGTATGCTCATAATTTAGAGCATTGGCTGCATGAAAGTTAACATCGATAACTCTTAGGAAACACTAACAGGAGTAATGAGTCCTGAGGGTACGGGAAGAGGGAGAGGGAAGGGGTAGTTGATAACTTTATAACTCCACAAGAAGGGAAGGAACAACAGAATTGCAGGTGAACTGATATATTGGATACGGCAATAAAATAATAATATATAATAATAAGTGTTCCTAGGGGGTAGGATGAGGAAGGGAGGGGATAAAGGGTAGCCAATATCAAAGAGTTCAAGAAAGAAAATGTTTTGAAACTGGTGGTGGCAAAAATTGTACAATCATGCTTGATCTAATTGAATTTTAAATTGTTAGAATATCTGTAAGAGCTCCCAACAATGTGATTAAAATTTTTAAAAAGACCATAAAATAAAGAGCTCTTTAAGTAGAAGGAAAAACTCCTTACTTCTCTGTGTGGCAGATTAGTACTTTTAATTTTTTAAAATATTTTCAAACTTGATTTAATCTAGCTACCTTTTTATTTTCATTAATTTTGTAGTTACTGATTACTTTATTAGACATTAAGACAAGAGAAAGAGGTGCCTACAATTTCTACCTACTCTAAATGGAGCTAATGACATAAATGGTAAATTTGGATATGCATTTTAAAGGTAACTTTAAAATGTAAGATGTACTCAAAAAATAACTCATCAACACCTAGGGGATATAATAAAGTTCTGGGCCCACCTAAGTCAGCTTAACAATAAAGGGTGGGGCAGGTTAGTGTGTGTATGAAATTTTGAATGGATGATACAAATAGTAAAAAGAAAAGTACTGTGAGCTCATGGAAAGAAGGAAAACGAAAAGCATTATAAATTGGGGATGTCAAAAATACCTTAGTGAATGAGTTAAGAATGGTAGACTGTTATTCAGGGAATTAAATTTAATTCAGCAGAAGCACTTCAGGTTTTACACATACATATCAGACCATATAATTTTAAATAGAGTGGTGGTGTCAGGTGCAATCAACTTGATTTTGACTCTCTTAGTGATATTATGTAATACAGTGTATAGGGTTTTCTAGGCTGCTCCATAGGGATTTCTAGGCTGTCATCTCTACAAAAGCAGATCAACAAGTCTCTCTCCCATGGTGCCACTGGGTGGGTTTGAAATGCCAAGGTAGCAGTCAAGTATATAATGTGTGTCAGTAGGGATCCCTTTCAGTAAAGTAAAAAGCAAACCCACTGCCATCAAGTCGACCCACTGGGACTTATCATACATACTTGTGTATAAGCCGAGTTTTTCCAGGTAAGTGCCGTTTTTGTGGTAAAATTAGGTGCCTCGGCTGATATTCGGGTCAGCTTATACTCGAGTATATACGGTACTTCAGTTTGTGAGGCCATGCTCTATGAGAGTGGATGTCTCATCTCCCTCTGAACGGTTGCTGGGTTTGTTCTGCTGAATTGTGGTTAGCAGTCCACTGCTTACCTAACAGTACCACAAAGGGCTCCTTTTAAATTGAGTTATGGACCAGAATGGGGACAGGAAATAGCATGGATTTTTAGGGGATAATGAGGGCAGTGGTGTTAGTGGTAGAACTCTCACCCTCAGTCCCTGAGTCCCAGGTTCTAACCCAGCCAGTGCACTTCCCTCACAGCCACCAGCTGCCTATCAATGGGGTTTTGCATGTTAAGAGGCTGCTCAAAAGTACAAATCAATTTGTCTTGGAAGAAGTAAGGCCAAAGTGCTCCTTAGAGACAAGGATGGCAAGACTTCATCTTACATTCTTTGGATATATTGTCAGGAGAGACCAGTCCCTGGAAAAGGACATCATATCATGTTGGTAAAGTGGAGAGCGATGAAAAAGAGGAAGGCGACGTATTGACACAGTGTGTGCATCAGGGGGCTCAGGCATGGGGACTTTTATGAGGATGGCGCAGGACCGTGCAGTTTTGTTCTGTTGTGCAGAGTTGCAGCGGGTCAGAGCCAATTTGATGATACCTAACAACAACACGAGGCAGGATGAATTTCATTTAGGCGTCCAGATTTGGATGAAAGGCCTTTTTTTTTTTTTTTTTTAAGTTACAATATTTTCTTTAATACAAAATTTTTTTTAATTTCATGCCCGTCATTAATGACAGCTGTATAATTATCATACTCATAGTGCTATATTTTATACAATTGAAATAAAATCATATCCTTAATTCTTTTATATCGTTGGATAGCTATAATTAAAAATGAACAATCATTTGAATATAAGAATATAATTCTTATATTCATTGAATATAAGAAATATGAATTCTGTACAAGTAGAATTATTAGGTGAAAGGACATAGATACGACTCTTGATACGTGTGAGGGGCTTCAAAGAGTTTGTGGAAAATGCCCATAAATCATTGCATTCCTTCCTTTTTTAGGAATTTGAATGTAGTTATACATTTTTCTCCCACGCTTTTGTGTCCCTGGTCACATTGGGTGCAGAGGTAACTTTGCCTTACTTTGTTCTGTTAGTCTCAGATTGGAAGAGGACATTGTTTGTCTGAGTTATTTGTCCGGAGGACTGGTTTCTGCTTTAAGCCTTTGATTTCCTTCATTTTCTTTTGCTCCACATGAGTGGACACTAAGATTATATCTTGGGTGACTGCTTGAAAGCTTTAAAGACCCCAGATGCTACTCCCCAAGCTAGGATGTAGAACACTATGAACTGTGTTATGCCTGTTTACTAACTATACTTGAATATTCATGTACTAGCATACCGTCTTACACACATACGTGGACACATACTTACCTACGTAAAGACACATATAGTTTTTGGTGGTGGTTGCTCCAGAGAGCTGTGGCCTTTAGGAAGCAGATTGTCAGGCCTATCTTCTGCGGTCCATGGGTTTGAACTTCCAACCTAGTGGTAGAGTGCTTAGCCATTTTCACTATCTGGGTATTAACTCTTCCAGCGTTAATAGTCTGTGTACGTGTTTTTTTCCTCCAGATTTCATCAGAAGCTTAAGTATAGATTCTCCTTCTGAACAGATGATTGAAAAAGCCAAAGGGGAAACTGCCTATTTGCCATGCAAATTTTCCCTGGGTCCTGGAGACCAGGGGCCACTGGACATCGAGTGGCTGCTCTCACCAGCCGACAATCAGCAGGTGGACCAAGTGGTAAGTTGGATAAAGGCGTGCTCACTCAGCAGATGTTTGTGAACTTGGTTCTGTGTGCACTACTGTGCTGTTCACCGCGGTGGGCATGGGGAGCTGGGAAGAAAGCCCTAGATGCCTTTGGATGTGGAGGACTATGCCGTAGAATGGCGAGAGTAATAAGTGACCTGCAATGTCAGAAAAAGGCGAGGTCGCTCCCTTGCCTTCCAGAGAGGAAGAGGAAACTGTGAAGTGAGCGTCCGAAACTGGGGGTTTGGAAATGTCTTTAAGTGGGCCGTGTGAAGCGAGAGTGGGGGCAGTATGAGGCAGGGACGGGTTCACGGTAGAAATGTGCATAATATGTTAAGGGCCTGAGAGTAAACAGCACTTGATTAAAAATTAGGTGAGAATTTTAAATTTCACATGAGGGTTCTGTCACTATTATAAATTGTCATTAAATGTGATGATGCAGTGTAATAAAGTTACATAGTACGAGTTATAAAAATCCTGTTCAGTGAATTTCTTAAATTAAACAGAGTCTTTATAACATAGAAACAACCTGTAAAAACATCTTAAATTTAGAAAATGAAATAGCAAACCATTGTTATAGAAGTTATCTCAATGTGGGGAGAGTCTACTATAAAAAACTTGAAAAAATAAAAATAGTGAAAAAGAAGGAAATTGCTAAGTTAATCTCACCTTCATCTATATATACCACACTTTTTCTTTTCCTTTTAGAACATTGGTATTTGATTTTGAATGTTACATACTGGTCTGATAATACCATTAATAAAAAGAAGTTAATAAATTATGTAGAGCAGAAAGAAAATATTAGGAGAATCAGTATATGTATTTGAGAAGAATCTTGTGATTCACTAAAAAAGTGAAACATATATACAAGCAATATATATAAATGTGCATGTATATGTACACATATACATACACAAATAATATATGTAGATGTGTGTGTTTGTGTAACCACTAAGGCAGTTCTGACCATATAGTGGTCACTAAAATAGAAGTGCCTCTTAGGATTTCCTCGGCTCTGAACTTACGGAAGCAGAACACTTTGAGTTTCTCTGGAGCGGCTAATGAGTTTGGACTGCTGACTGTTCAGCTCACAGCTGAGTGCTTTGATTAAGAGTTAAAAACAAAACCCACTGCCATAGAGTTGACAGATTACCGTATATACTCATGTATAAGCCAAGTTTTTCAGCATATTTTAAATGCCGTTTTTGTGGTAAAATTAGGTGCCTCGGCTGATATTTGGGTTGGCTTATACTCGAGTATATATGGTATTTAAAAGCTGAAGGTAAAATCCTCCCATTTAATGTGTGAATCATAATGTATTTGTGAAGTAAAGAATTAGGGTCCTCTCCAAGTCGTGAATGACGTAAGACCACTGCTTGCTGGGACACACCTCTGTCCTGGAAAGTGCAAAGCAAGTGCAGCTTGATCGATTCTATTCACTCAGCCCTGATACCTTTTGCCTCTCTCTCTTCCTTTCCCTTTCCCTCTCCCTCCACTCCTCATCCTGACACTCCCCCCGCCCCCGTGTTGCTAGCACCTTGAATATAGGCCCTACCTCAGGTGATGAAATCAAAACCAAATACACTGTCACTGGGCCAGTTCCAACCCATGGTAACTGTTAGTCCGGATAGACTAGAGAAACCTATCTGTAGAAACTTGTGTATAAGAGAGAGTTTTATATAAAGGGTAATCGTACATTAAGAAAGCATCTCAATCCAGGCCAGTCCAAGCTCATAAGTCTGATATTAGCCCATATGTCCAATACCAATCTATAAAATCCTCTTTAGACTCACAAAACACATGCAATGACGCCAAATGCAGGACGATCACAGGCCAGTGGGTAGAAAGCCTTTGGATCCAGTGGTGTTGTGAGCATCTCAGCGCAGGCCGGGGTCTCTCTGTGGCTTTTCCAGCTTCAGAGGTGTGGTTGCATTAGGGTAGGTCCATGTGGCTTGTCAGCTACAATGTATCCGGTGGGGAGGGGGCGTCTCCCACCAACAAGGAGGAAATACAGGATTTCCCAGAGTTCTCAGAAGGCCATGCCCACACAGGGGCCTCATTGGCTTGACCTGATTAACAGACTAGGCTCCACCCCTTTCCTCTTAATCCTTTCAAGTCCCAAATGGCACCAGATTATGTAACTACCACAGTGACTTTTAAGACAGCGTAGAATTGCCCCCTTTTGTTACATACCACCCACTATGCTTCCAGGGATGGGAACTATACACGGAGGTCTCCAAAAGTTCATAGAAAAATGGAGTTGAAAAACAATGGAATTTCCTCTAGAACTTTCTGAGCTCCCTTTGTATAGAGGACATGGGTCCTAAATGCTCTGTCTTCAGACTTTGTGTCGTGAGTGGCCTGTGACAGGTTCCATAAAGGCACTGTCCAGTTGTGTGCACTGTTGTCTTGAGCACGTGCATGTATGGGAAAGGGATTTGTGCTGAGTGGGAAGCCTGGACTCGATGTCTGCAGTAGTTGAGATAATTAATTGTGCAGCGGGGCACTGGGCTAAAAACCTAGCCTCTAACCTAAAACACAGTAAATCAGACTTAAAAAAATGAAGAACTGGAGCAAGATTGTTTCAGAAGAGAATGTTTGCATAGATTTTCAGCTGCATTGTAAATTAAACTGCACTCCCTTTTTATTGTATCGCAGCTAACTGGTTGTGTATTTCCCGTCTAAGAATCAGAGACTCGGGCCAAAGACCGTTCTTTCATCATACTCAGAAAGTATGCGTTCCACTGTGTACTAAACAGATGCTTTGGCGGCTCGTATGATTTGCCCTGGGCTGCTGACCAAAAAGGTTGCTGGTCGGTTGCTGATTGAAACCCACCCAGAGGCACCCTGGAAGATAGGCTTGACAATGTGTGTCCATAAAGATTACAGATCAAGATCAAAAATGCCCCATGGAACTCAGTTCTCATGTGTAGCACATGAGGTCTCTGTGAGTCAGATAAGACCCTACAGTATCATGTTTTTCATATGCTGGGCGGTGTTTTCATTGTATTTACTTATATAAGTCATGTAATAGCACTCAGATGAAAATTATATGCACTTTAACAAAGAGAAACAAATGGTGGTCTGGAAACTTGAATTAACCTGTGATCACCCAGTTGGTAACGAATGCTTTTGAGGCTTTGAATGAAGCTCTGTCTGCCTGCCACACCTGAACTTTTATTATGTGCTTTCCTGTACTCCTGCTTAGTTTGCTTTCTAAGCCCCGGTTTTCTCATGTGTGAAGTAGGAACAAATTTACGTATCTCACAGTGTTGTGAAGAGTATCAGTCTGTATGCACAGAATTTTGTAAGGTGCACAGTAAATAGAGATGTTAGTGAAGAATGTCGGCACAGACTGTACTACACCAAGTTGAATGATCTGGCTTGCATCCTAGCAGCGTGGCTTTGTTGTGTGAGCCACAGCTTTCCTCATCCTAATTGTTAGATGTGGACAGTGTGCCCGTCCTGATAGACTTGTCAGGAGGCATAAATGAAGATATGTAAAACTGCCTCGCATATGTCAGCATTTTTTATAATCATTTTATTGGGGGGCCCATACAATTCATCACTATCCATCCATACATCCATTGTGTCAAGCACATTTGTGCATTTGTTGCCATCATCATGCTTGAGCCCTTGGTATCAGCTCCTCATTTTTCCCCTCCATCCCCTCCTCCCTCATGCACCCTGGATAATTTACAGATTATTATTATTTTGTCATATTTTACACTGTGCGACATCTCCCTTCACCCACTTTACTGTTGTCCATCCCCCGGGGAGGAGGTTATATGTAGATCCTTGTAATCAGTTTCCCCTTTCCACCCCACCCTCCGTCCACCCTTCCGGTATCACCAATCTCACCACTGGTCCTGAAGGGATCATCTGCCCTATATTCCCTGTGTTTCCAGTTCATATCTGTACCAGTGTATATCCTCTGGTCTAGCCAGATTTGTAAGGTGGAATTGGGATGATGATAGAGGGATGGTGGGGAGGAAGCATTTAGGAACAAGAGGAAAGTTGTGTTTCATCGTTGCTACACTGCAACATGACTGGCTCATCTCCTCCCCGTGACCCTTCTGTGAGGGGATGTCCAATTGCCTACAAATGTGCCTTGGATCCCCACTCTGCACTCTCCCTCATTCACAATGACTTGATTTTTTTGTTCTCTGACACCTGATCCCTTCAACACCTCATGATCACACAGGCTGGTGTGCTTCTTCCATGTAGGCTTTGTTGCTTCTCAGCTAGATGGCAGCTTGTTTACCTTCAAGTCTTTAAAACCCTAGACACGATATCTTTTGATAGCCAGATTCCATCAGCTTTCTTCACCACATTTGCTTATGTACCCACTTTGTCTTCAGCGATTGTGTGATCATGGAATGCCAGTTTAAGAACAAAGTATTCTTGGATTGAGGTAGTACTTGATTGGAAGCCCAATGTCCTTCTGCTACCTTAATACTAAACCTATAAATATATGCACATAGATCTATTTCCCCATCCTCATATAGAAATATATACATATGCACGTGCCTTTTTTTAGACCTCTATAAATGCCCTTTGCCTCCTACTTCTTTCCTCTTATTTCCTTTTATGTAGCACCGGTCAATTTTCCCCTTGGTAATCAGGATCATTGACACCACTCAGTACAGTGACACCCTCCCTGACTTGTTGATCCAAAGCCATGAGAAGCCCAAACTGACCAGGGGGCGTTCTCAGCTACCAGTTCAGTAGAATCCATGCTGTATTTCCAGCTGGGAGAGTTCCTTACTTTGGGACCAGGACCTCCAGGCATGAGGAACACAGGGTTGCTGGTACAGGAAGCAAAAATGCTGCAAGTGGATCACTAGGAGTAATAGTGAGTGGTGCCACTGCAGCTTCCACCCCTTGATTCCTGGACCCATGAATTCTGGCTATTGGAGACACAGCACCATATATTGGCCGCTGGTTTAGAGAGTATACAGCTTCCTGGAGAACATTACCCCAGCCCCGCAAGTTGTTGCCACCTAGTTGGCGCTGTAATTGTATCTTTAGGAGCCCATTCCATTATTCTGTCCAGCCAGCTGGTTCATCGTGATGAGGAACATGATACGACCAGTGGATTCCATGGGAATGGGCCCATTGCCGCACTGCATTTGCTGTGAAGTGAGTTCCTTGATCTGAAGCAATGCTATGTGGGATGCCATGCCGGTGGATGAGGCATTCTGTAAGTCCACGAATGGTAGTTTTGGCGGAAGCATCGCATACAGGAGAGGCAAATCCATATCCAGAGTAGGTGTCTACTCCCAGTAAAAACAAAACACTGCCCCCTCCATGACGGAAGAGGTCCTATGTAATCAACCTGCCACAAGTTGCCGGTTGATCTCCCCCATGGCATTTTGTAGTCGAGCTTCTGAAACTCAAATCAATGTACTCTCTAAATCAAAAGCAGAGACACTAGGAAATTTGGAGTCAGGTGAATTAATTTGGTTCACAACCACTCAGACGTTCAAATCCTTGTGATGGATAAATGTGCAAGACAGCATTCCCAGGTTTCTAGCTCCCTAGACTGTACTGCATTTTGTTATGTGTGGCAGATCTGCAACCTTTGAGCTGAAGAGGTGCAAGGAGCCTCTGGGAGGAGGACTGAGACTGCTCTGTGCAGCAGGGTCACCCTAAAGTGGCCGCAGTCCACATCCACAAAGCTAGAGCCTAGCACCTCGTACCTAGGAGCGCCAGCAACAGGGTGCTCAGGCTATAGGTGCTTCTCCAGCTCCAGGTGCAGCACACAGGAGAGTAGCATCTGCGCCCAGCTGATGAGCTGCAGTCCATATATCCACATTTTACAACTATTTTTACAACATTTGTTTCCTTGGGAAAATTCAGCAGATGGTGTTCAAAATAGTAGTGGGAACACACAATTGTCAGGCCCTCTATGAAAGACTACTCATTGTGTGTACCTAGAAAGCCAAAAGTACATCACTTGGCTCATTGCTGTCAAGTCAAACATGAGGGGTCAAAAGCACAGCCAACTGAACCTAATGGCTTTTCACAGCAATGATTCAATCGATGGAACACAGTAAGATAATAGCGGCACCTGAGGAGTCCCTAGTGCTCTTTTTGTCTGGACGATGGAGCAAAGGGCTTGAGTTTGCAGAGCAAATCAGTAGTGGGCCATTTAGCTGCTCTGTCATTCTTTTAGCACACTGGTATTGAGTACATAGGCATAGATAAGAAGATCTTTGTGGATGAGGGGTGTTCACCTGGGTAGGGGAGAAAATCAACTCTCTGGCCTCAGAAACCATCTATAGAATAAACCTTGGAAACTTCTGTTCCTGAGTGATACTTTATCTCATTGTACTGCTCATCTTTAGCAACTCAGATAAAATGTCATTTTCAGATGCAGAGTTGCTTCCTTATTGTTTCTGAGTTTGGCATCTCTGCTCTTTAGCCTTTGGTTCATCATCACCAGAATAGAAAATTTCATTAGCAAGCACGCTAATAAATTAAGTGAACTGATTAGAGATAACTACAATTTTCTTCTAAGTCAGCGTTTTCAATACTTTTACACAGAAGTATAAATTCCCATTTAATAATTGGTTGTTCAGTGACATTGATTACGTGTATGAACATTCTCATTTTATGTGTTCCTTTTCATAGCAGTCAGTTTTAAAACCTCTTATTTTCCTTCTAATTCTAGCTTTCAGATACTAAAAAAAAAAAAAAGCCCAATAGTGACCGAGAAAACTCAGTAGAATTAGGGGAAGGGTTTTTGTTTTTAATCAAAGAAGAGTCTTTGGGAGATTGTGCTAACCTGAGCCCCCCTATCTTAAATGTCCAGGTGGGGTTACACTGATGTTATACATTTGGTTGGCATCCTGCAGCTTCTGAGACAGCTGGTGATTAGAAACCAATTGTCCTGCAGCCACGGCTGACTCATGGCAATCCACATATGTCCAGTTAGAGCTGGGGTTTCTAGTGACGACTATTTTGGAAGTAGATCAACCGGACTTTGCTCTGAGGCAGCTCGAGGCAGACAGAAACCTTTCAGTTAGCAGACAAGTTTTAACTGCTCTCAGTACCAGGGACTCCAGGGAAAATAGTGTACAGAAACGGATAGCTCTGAGTTCAGTCTCACTAAGCGCTCTTACCTAAGGGTATATTATTTAATTGTGCTTGGTCTTAGTTTTCCCAATTAAAATAAGAGTGTTAGACCAAATTGAAGGTCACAGCGGTGGTCTCTGCATATTTGTCATTCTGTAACTGTGGATAATTGTAGGTTTTTCATAGAAAGACCTTGGTGGCGTGGTGATTCTGTGTTAGGCTGCTAACCACAAAGTCAGCAGTTTGAAATCACCAGCCCTCTGAGGTTTGAGAAAGAGGAGGCTCTCCCCTTGTGCAAATGTCTCAATAGGGTTACTGTGAGTCGGCACAGACACAGTGCTTGTGAGTGAGGTTTATCATAATATTCTTAACTCTTTTTTCTCTGCTTCCTTTAAAGTGATTTTCACTAAAATTCATTTTTAACATTTATTGTGGTTTGTGTGAATTTTTACAGAGCACATTAATTTCCCATTTGACAGTTTATAAAAAGTCTGTATCCCACAATACTGTGATTATATTCATCCCTCCTTTAATGAGGCAGGATTTTTTTTTATTTGGTTAGTTCGCTGGCTGTGTTTCTCTTCTCATTTTGATCTTCTTTTAGATTATTTTATATTCCGGAGACAAAATTTATGATGACTACTATCCAGACCTGAAAGGACGAGTGCATTTTACAAGTAACGACCTTAAATCTGGTGATGCATCAATAAATGTAACCAATTTACAGTTATCAGATATTGGCACCTACCAGTGCAAAGTAAAAAAGGCTCCTGGTGTGGGAAATAAGAAGATTCACTTGATAGTTCTTGGTAAGTTATTTGTATTAATGTTACCTATTAACAGAATGAGTGGTCACAGACTTGTAATAGCTTCATTCCCATAAGGCAAAAGTATCATTTATTGGAGTCATATTTTAATACGCTTACAGTACTCCAATGTCCTCAAATAGCAGAAAGCATAAAAATAGCTAACTTTTTTTGATAGGAAGAATATGAATGATTGATTTCTTTATCACATTAATAAAACGACTTTGAAAATAGTGAAGAAGCCCTGAAATATGGGGGGAGAATTCTAAGAAAAAATAGAAGATCCAAGTTTTTATTTTTTTTGTCCTGTGAATTAATGGGGATCCCTTCATTTTGGGGGCCTCAGTCTACCTTTTAGAAAAGTAATTAATGATCTTTAAATTTACCCATGGGATCTCATTCAGTTCAAAACTAGTTTGTATATTTTAAACTTTTACCTTTATTACCCCATATCAGATTTCTTTTATGATTAGGAATATATGGAAAGTGGCATGTGCTAGAAAGAATATTGAATTGGAGTATGGCCATTAGACACCAGAGAGAAGCATATAACTTTCCTGAGCATCACTGTTTTTATTCTTAAAGGGAGGCAGTCAGATAGCTAATCATCAGGCTATCTTGTAGCTCTATAAATGATAAAAATGAAATAAGTACAAACTCCTTTGTTTTGGGTGTTATATTTGCAATGTTAAGTTATATCCTTCCCTTCATTCTGTGATAACATGCTCAGGCAGTCTTAGACTTTTTAATTTGAAACTCTCAAATGTTAATATTCATAAATATATAAATCATGAATGTGCAATGGCCTCCATGTAGCATAGTGTAACTTTCCTGCTGCCTATGCTAGGATAGTAAAATTCCCTGTTCTGAACCTAAAGTCTTCTGTTTGGGGAGGAAGTTAGGATCAGTCTCAAAGACATAGAAGAGAAACAAAGTTTATGTTGTATTGCTCCATTTATGTGGCGCACAACTAGTCTGTAGGGAGAGAGATCTGACCTAGCTGGCTAGTCCTGAAGCAGATAGAGGACCACAGGCGTGAGGACCACAGGTGTGAGGACACGTTCTTGGGAGATTAGGATAGTGCTTGTCACTAAGATCATCCGTGTATTGAAATGTTCATTTCATTGTATGCACACTGACTTCATGAAGTGCAACAGAAGTATAGGAGATGACAGGGTTGAGATAGGGCGGATTGCAGGGAGCAGGATAGCAACTGCTCTAAATGTTTACCTGGGGATACCTGGGACAGAGCCTCAGACCTCCCTTTTGTAACACTCTGTGAAGGTCTTGAGTGTCGCTGTGGAATGTTAATTGGTCGCTGTTATTAGAATTATGAATTGTAAACCCTCTGATTTACGGGTAGCAGCACCCAGAGGAATGTGACTTGGCACACACTCCCAGAGGGCTTCATGACAAGCCTGGAGTAAAAGAATAGGTAAGAAATGGAGAGGGAAAACTTCCGAGTCTTACCTGGTTGAACCCATGATTATCCTTGCTCTTTTGAAATGCGGCTAGAATGGAGGGCAATGGGCTGCACCTGTGTCTGTTGCCAGCCTTCCTCATGCAATTGCTGCCTGCCTGAGCTCATCTTTGCTTGTTTTTCTGTTGGTTAAAGCTGAGTAAACTGGTGTTAAGACAATTGTGGCTTTTAGTCTTTTTGTTAATTCTGAATGCAGGATAATGGCTGTGCAGCATGCTGTATGTTTTAAGTATTCGTTATAAAAATTAATTCCATTCTCAAAATTAAGTTATGATTTTTTTTCTTTTAGTTAAGCCTTCAGGTACAAGATGTTACATTGATGGATCAGAAGAAATTGGAAATGACTTTAAGCTAAAATGTGAGCCAAAAGAAGGTTCACTTCCATTACGATATGAATGGCAAAAATTGTCTAACTCTCAGAAAATGCCTATGTCGTGGTTAGCAGGTACGATGTGCCATTGAGGGTGTGTGTGTGTGTGTGTGTGTGTGTAAGTTTCCAAAAGCCTTCCCTTTCCCACACAAAACAATCAAGGTTCTACTGGAATTGATTCAGTGTTCCATAATGACATCTCAGGGTCGTGTAATAAAAAATTAATAAAACGTCTAAAGTAATAGCACCTTTTAAAATATTTCATAATTTTGTGGTACATTAGAAAAAAAAGATAGTACTGGTGGAAAATGCTATCATAAATCTGATAGCATAGTGGCTGAATTATAATAATTAGATCTTGAATGTTTTGCCTTATTAAGTAATTCATGTTGGAGATAATAGTAATTTATGCTTAATTTGCTCAGTAGTTCAAACCATTTACCATTTCAAAGAATGCAACACTTGAATATAATCCTCTTGTCCTTCCGTCCTCCCAACCCTGGTCTTTTTGCGTGGCTTCTGTTTTCTTTGCAAACCGAGAGGCCAAACTAGATGATGAAGGTCCCTTCTGACTTACTCCCATAAGATAGTTGGGTGCAGGGCTTTCTGGGGAACCAAGACCTTTGATGGCCTGGGACACTTAAGAGTCAGATGTAGCACAAAGTGGGTTTGTGTGTAGGACCAGCACGACTGTTTTCAGCTACGGATCTCTGTGCCTTACCTAAAGGAAACGTGATTTCTTTTGTTGAGCTCCACGTGAATAGAGGCACGGTTGCTTGTTTTTTGAGATGCACATGTAGCAATACTTGAATATAATGCTTAACGTTAGTCTGTTGTGTTTTTATCTGGACTGATACACTGTACAAAAACCTTGGAGCTGAAACAATACTGTAATACTGAATTTGTTCTCTCTCTCCCACCCTCACCAAAGAAATGACTTCACCTATTATCTCTGTGAAAAATGCCACGACCGAGTATTCGGGAACCTACAGCTGCACGGTCCAAAACAGAGTGGGGGTTGATCAGTGCCTGCTACGCCTGGATGTTGTTCCTCGTAAGTTCTTTTATCTGTTTGTCTCTGGTCGCTCTGCTCAGTTCTTTGATTGAGTCGGAAAGTGTATATTGAGAGCAAGGGGATGCTGACTTTGAGCTATGCACTTGGTAGCTTGGTTATTAGCTTTTCTAGCTTGTGGGAAGGAAAAAGGCTACATTTTAAATAAAATCTTCATCGTTGTGTTATTTAATTGGGAAGTTGCCAGTTCAACTCCTGTGAACCATATTTAGCCATTATGAGTACCTTAGAAAATTCTCAATGCTAACCAAGGGAGCTTTGTATATTAAAATAGTTTAGCCTTATTTTACCTGTTTTATGCTTCATATAAATTATATATGTCAAAGAAAAGTCCTTTTAATAGCTTTACCCTGCCAGGCCGTAAAATGCTGTCAGTTTTCTTAAAGTTACATATCAATAAAATCAAACTATGAATGTGTATACTATGTTTGTTATGAATCCTTTTTTAACTATTGATTATATTCTTATTAATCTCTTATTCTAGCTTCAAATAGAGCTGGAACAATTGCAGGCGCTATTATAGGAACTTTACTTGCTCTGGTGCTCATTGGTCTTCTTATCTTTTGCTGCCGTAAAAAGCGCAGAGAAGAAAAATATGAAAAGGAAGTTCATCATGATATCAGGTAATTAAATGGAAAAGGGTTGGCTGATGTATACGGAATTTACTGTGTCTCTAAAGCACTAGTTGTCTTAATCATCCAAAGAAAACATGAGAATTGACTAAAGGTTGTGGAGAACATATACTTTCATTTTCAAACGTGGATCAGCCATCATTCATGATGTCACATGTTCCCAATATCCTGGGATTCCACTTTCTGAACCAAAATGACTTTCTCAATAATTTTTGACATCTCCCAATAAAATGACAGGCATGAGATTTCCCAAAAAGGACAGATGTTGAGATTTTAGAGAAAGGCTTAATTAAATGTATCATTTGGCTAGTTTATAAACCTGTTGGTAGTGTGATTTTATTTTCTCAACTGCCCTAAACCAGAATAGCTTAACTAATAGTGCACTTTTGAATTATAGAAATTTTAATAATGTAATTTAAATGATACCTTGGAAATTGACATTTGGTAGTTCTTGAGTAGTGCTGGCAACTTGTGTACTTTACATGACCAGAAGTAACTCAGATATATTTGTAAATATTCAATGTTAAAATTCCTATCCAAATTATGCAGTTTTTGCATGCTTGAATTGATAAGGTTTTTCTCTAAGGCATTAAAAAACATTGATAGCAAAAATAAGCTTTTTCTTTCTTTTGGTAGAATCATATCTGGATATTCATGCTTTAAAACTATGTAACTAGTTACTTTTGACCAGTGCTACTAGAATCTGAAAGTACTCGAGCTTTGCTCCATGTAAGATAATGCCTCACTGCCACGGAGTCCGCTCTGACTCACAGCGACCCTGTAGGCAGGGCAGAACCACCCCTGTGGTATCCTTAGACTATAATTCTTTATGGCAGTAGAAAGCCTCACCTTTGTCCCAAAGAGCTGTTCCTGGTTTTGAACTCTTGAACTTTTGTGCTTAGCAACCCAACTCATTACCCACTGTGCTATCAGGACTCCTAGGACAACATAGGACCATATAAATTTGTGTAAAAACCGTAGTTTTATTTTCTGTGAAGAGACAAACTCAAATAAATGTTGTATTGAGGACAAATACGAAGTTCATGACACTGCCGCTGATTCTACTTTCTTTATTAACTACAGTTTTAAATGTAATAATCCTGGAGTATCTTCCCCACCTCTACCCAAGACTGAAACTTATGTAACTCCAGGGTTTGATAGCTCAGTCTTCTAACTTGTATTGGGGACTTGGCTTTCCAGGGAAGACGTGCCTCCTCCGAAAAGCCGAACGTCCACTGCCAGGAGCTACGTCGGCAGCACTCATTCATCCCTGGGATCCATGTCTCCTTCCAACATGGAAGCCTATTCGAAGACTCAGTATAACCAAGTACCCAGTGAAGATTTTGAACGTGCTCCTCAGAGTCCAACTCTCCCACCCACTAAGGTAGCTGCCCCTAATCTCAGTAGAATGGGGGCGGTGCCTGTGATGATTCCAGCGCAGAGCAAGGATGGGTCCATAGTATAGAGCTCCACACTTGGCACTGTGCGCTCCATGCTTCTCTCCTTCTTGAAATGATGCACAGCTGCTCTGTTCTAACTGTTGGGTGACCAACCTCAGAAAGTACCGAAAAGAAGTTAATCAGAAACCCTAAGTCATGTACTTCAAAGACTTTTGCTTGCTTATATTGAAACAGTAAAGGCATTACAGTTACTAAAGATCAACCATACTAAAAAAGAATGGGTTTTCTGTAAGATGTCGATCTTAAAAGTTTCTAAAGATTAAGATTTACGTAAGATGTAGCACTTTGAGTTGGAAATCATAGTTGAGGAAATTGGTAAACTTATATGCCCACAAATTTGATACTTGAGTCATCTGAAAATGGTCCTTTATATTTTCAACCGTTCATTTCTAGATGCTTTTCTCATTTAATTTATGGCCTGTTAGACACCGCCCTCTTCCCCCCAATTGGTAAAGAAACATTCATGGCAAAAATACTTATGAGAGGCTGCAAAAAGTATGTGGGGAAAAACGGAACTAAAAAATTAGGGACTTTTTGCACAAACTCTCTGAAGCCCCTCATATAGATATACATAAATGCTTGTTCTTGATTTTATAGCTGCTCCTAAAACTGTGTGTTTAGAATATTTTTAATAAGATAACAGCAAACACTGAAATGTTAGAAATGAGTGAGCTGTTAGAAATGAGCTGCTGCTCGGGGTGTAATAGTGGGGTAGATTTTTGCTGGTGAGTGATCGACGGCCTCCAGGCTGTGGTAGGGTCTTGGAGCCAAAGCATGAGTGGAATTTCGTAGTGAGCTCACGTCACTGAATTCATAGGCCCAGGCTCATTGAAAAGGAACAGCTGTTCCCACCCAACTTGACACTGGCGCTCTACTTTCTATTAAGAACAAATATAAATGTACTACTTATTAATTAGAGATTGAAGTTCCCTAATTATTGCTCCCAAATGATTTCAGGTCTGTTTTTTTTTTTAATGTTACATATTTTATATTTAGAAATATCTATAATCCTTACCCTCTTGAATGTAGTCCTTGGAGGATTTTTCCTCATAAGCTCAGATGATCAAATACATTTAAGAGAGTAAGTCTCCTCAATGAGTTCTCTATTTCAGATTTGGGAGGATGTACAGTGCTATCGTATGCCAACATGTCTGTTTAGTTCCAGAAAATTAAGCTGAGCTTTGAAAAAGTGAGGTATGAGGACTAGTTAGTGAAAGTGATTTATTCTTTAAGTTAAAAAAAAGAAAGAAAAAGGAGTAAAAAGTAGATACCTCTTAACGGCCAAATGTGTTAAATACAAGTATTGTTTTAGTAGAAAAAAGTGAATTTATTGTACTTCCCTTAAGATTGTGAGGGAGTGTGGATACAGTAGAATGAGCCAACATTTTCTCTATAGTAAGTAAGGCCTGCAATAAATTATTTCATTAGCTCTAAAACCTTTTCCCTAGATTCTAGTAGGGAGTTGGTTTCTGTTAACCTTTGGGTGCTGTGGTGGTAAATGCTACATTATGAATTAATGTTGGCATGAATTGATCATTAGGCGAAGTATGTACACTTTTTAATGGTAATATAAGCTGAATGTGTAATGAATTAGTGTACAGTTTAACATGTTTGAACACATTTTTAACCTTACAATTACTTTTATACTTATGTTAATGATTTCATCTGTGCCTTTTAGGTAATGTAATTTTTATTATGAATTTCTGGTGCCTATGAGCTAGCTATCACCTGAAAGGTGCTTAGAGGTGAAGGTACTGTTTCCAAAAATGCATCACTGTGACCTTCCTGTCCTCACACATTGAAGGGAATCTTGCCCCTTCTTTTCTGGTACTTTGGGTATAATTAAATGATTGATGTATTTGTAAAAAATTTTAAATGTTAACACCGCCAACCAACACTCTTGGATTGTGTTCATGGCTTCTGATTTTATAATACTGACTATTTTTGAATGCAAGATATCTGGACTCTTTTGTATAATTTATAAGCTATTATAAGAACAACAGTGAAGTCCTTTCTATTCCTGATTTTCAGGTAGTAAAGATTATGCTGCCACTCTAAGTAGAGATCACAATAGAAAGCGCGCGTCCTCATAGCTTTCATGTTTATCTAGGGTTTGAATCTCGTCTCAAAAGGCTTTCCACTTAGATTGATACCAGCTACAGTCTGAAATACGAGTTAGTCCTATTGAGTGAGTGATTTAGATTTAGGTTCATTTCTAGCCACTATTATTCATTTCACTTGAACCAAATGTCTGTGTATATCACGGATAACCTCCCAAACAATTCTCACTGATAATTTCAGGTACTTGATATAGAAATAGTAATAGTAATCATCAGCAGTTCACCACTAGTACCAAAATGCCATTAAGAGCATTTCCACTAGAGAGCCAACGTCAGTCAAGGACAACACTGCGTCTGCAAAGCAAAACCATTTAGTTTCACATTCTCCCGAAGTGACCCGACACCCATCGTTTTCAGCTCCACAGGGCCGCAAAACAAACGATACCTTATGATGCGTAATGCTGCATCTTGACTGGAAGTAGTTACAGGCTCCTTTCCTTCTTAGCAATCTTTTTCACTTTCTCCAGTTAGAAAGCACAAAGGGAAACAACAGTGCAACCATTGATCATGCTACCGGTTATTCTGAGAAAATGACTGCTTTGAATTTTGACCACCTACCTTGAAGTTTTTACAATGGAAATACAGCCCATGTGTATCTTAAGGGAAATTAATTGAAGGCCCAGACTTTTACTCATGGATTATGCTAGGATGAAATATCTGATTTTTTTGTATTTGCCTCAATTTATGTACTACCTTTACCATTTTTCAGTTCAACAAATGGGTAAGATTGATTCCTAGAAATTTGGACTCAAATTCAAGGGGCAGGTAAACATTTAGATGAAATATAAAAAGAACCCATTGCATGAAGTTGGATATCAAAATCTGTAATGTGTTAAACAGCTAATCTTAGTGTCTCTCTGTATGTAGCATGTATATTTGAAGTTACATGAATGCTTAAACTTTTCCTCATTTTCGTCTCAACAGTGTTTAGGGCTTTCAGATGCCTTAATCCAGTGCAAACAGAAAAAGCCACATTTTATGTGGTTAGTGCTTTGATGTATCATGTGAGGAATAGTTTGTAGAAAATGTTGGCAAAGTTTTAACTTTTTAGTTGTGTGTGATACTCTATATTGTATGCACATATCTTTGTAATATTTCTGTGTTTAGTAGTATAAATATTCTGGGCAAGTTTTAATGTTTCAAATGCCTTTGGATACTCTTGTAACAACGGCAATACATTCTGCAATAGAATTTCTTACTTTGCTTATTTTGACACTAAAATAGTCCATAACTGATCAGGCACAATGTCCATTTGTATGTGTTATAGAAGTAGGGGAGAAAAATTAATTTGTGGATTTTGGTTCTGTTTATGTCTCTTTTAACTAGGCCGATCATTTATGTTGTGGATAGTAACACCAGCAGATATTTGGTTCATCCTGGTATTTTATTTAAAAATCAAATTTTCCACCCATTTGGCTTCCATATTAAATTTATGGTGAATCGTTGACATTAAAAATCCTAAGAAAAAGGACTTTATATTTCTATTAATTTATTTAATGACAGTGTGTTATGAGAACCAACCTTCACTGATTCACTTATTGTTTCTGACTAAATTTTAGTGATAAACAAACATACTTGTACTACTGAGAACTATTTTGAAATGTCACATATGCAAAGTAGAGAATTGATAGTGTCAGTTTCAGAATGATTTTGTATTTAACATTTCTGGCTTTAAGTATTCAATGGTGCAGATTTTGAAATTTGTAAAAACAATTTGTTTAACAAAGCAAAAACTTGCTCTGGTTTTGTGACCTTGTATAATTTTGAAATAAAATCAAGAAAGCAGTTTTCTGCCTTGCAATGTAGAGTGTGGTTTGGCTTCATTGTGCCTTTAAGAAGAAAATTTTCCCTCAAGTTTGAATATGCTGTCCCCGCTGCCTTCCTCAGTCAGGGTTTCCCACTTTCTCCCCTTGCATCCTCTAACGAGCATTTCAAACTCCAGAACTCCAGTCTAACTAATGTTAGAATTCAGAGGTGAAGATTCAGAAATTAAAAAATTCCGAGAGAAAACGAGCATGAGCTCTGGAGTCAGATCTGCTGGAATGCTGATTATTGTTAAGTGGTTTATTTAGTCTCACTCTCCCGGTGCTTAAAATTGGGGTGTAATAAACAAAGCCTTCACAGAGGATTCTGGAAGACATTAAAGTGATAAAATTGATATCATAGTGACAATCTTTGTATTTAACCCTGATTGCTGGGATGTTGAAAATGATTCGCAGAATTTTAAGGAATTGAGGTTACTATAAAATATGCTAGGTGAAATTGAATACCTTCAATTTAGATCAGCTTTTAACGTTATGGCTCTAAAGGCCAGATGCTTTTAGTTAAATTCTGAATGGTAAACATTAAACAAAGTAATTTGTTATAGTTTAAAGTCTAAGAAATACTCAATGCCATTTCTAATTGTGGTAAAGGCAGGAATGAAAAGATCAGGAAGCTGGTCCTAGAAATTGAATGCAGGTTTTTGCTGGCGTGCCTGAAGTATGAATCAAATGTCCCTTTTTTGTTTTGATACTTGGATGATAATTTTCAATTTGATAAATATTAAAAGAGAGTGTGCTAAGTTAACTTCTGGAAAAGAAATTGTGAAGAATTTCTAGGGTTGATAAAGAAATGAGAAATTTCAGTTTAGTTAACCAATAACTAGGTCTTTACTCGGTTTGTTTCTTCTTATTTCACTGCTAAATTGTGTAATTTATGTATATAACAGAAAATGAGTGAGTCTGGAGAATTTTAGATTCAGGGAATTGTAGAGATCACCAAAACCCACCAACTAACCAATCAATTCCAACTCAGCAACTCCA